GAAGGAAGGAAGGAAGGAAGGAAGGAAGGAAGGAAGGAAGGAAGGAAGGGGAAAGGGAAAAGGCATATAGGAAAGCACCCCTGGTGTTCAGTGCTACCTGACCACTGTCACTATGGCAACCTACCTGACACATAGTAAGCATATGAACATAAAAACATCATATGGATTATGCAGGTATACCCAGACACACAAAGTTGGACTCACCCTTAAACATCAACTGTACAAACACAGATACACAGAGAGACATCAAACTCAGAGAGAGAGAGAGAGAGAAAGAGAGAGGGGGGGTATATGGTAGAATTGTAATAGGTAGGGGCTGGAGAGGTGACTTGGTGCTTAAGGGCATGGGCTGCTCTCCCAGAGGACCTGGCTTTGATTTTCAGCACTTACATGGTGGCTCACAACCCAGCATTCTCATCTGGCCTCCACAGGCACCAGGCACACACATGGGATGTACATACATGCAAGCAAAGCACCCATACATATAAAGTAAAATAATATTAATATCTTTAAGGAAACGTATTAGGGAGGCTTCACTAACTTGAGCAAGCAACGCTTACATTTCATTCAAACTTCAACGACTGCACTGTGGTTAATTGAAGATGTGGAGAGATGGCCTGACTAGGTCAGGAACCTAAAGATAACTGGGGCAGTTGAAGCTGCCTTGTTCTCCAAAAAGAGGCACCGGAGGAGCCTGATTAATTCCTATTCACTCCAGTAAGTTCACCGATAATCATGAGTCTCCAGGGTTGTTAAGTGTTAAGTGCAAGAGGGTTTTAAAAGCCTTACTGGGGCTACCACAGTAGGGATTCTAGCGTATGAAAAGAGATGGATACGTGTTTCCTGTGGCAGCTCCTGCCTTACAGACTCTGTGTTACAAGCACCACCCAACTGAGCTCCTGTCACTGTCGGAGCCGGGAGACCAGCTATATGAACAGTTGGGAGCAAAGCCACAGGAAGAAGTGTATCTAAAGAAAAACAGAGGCTGTGTTTCTTATGCATTGCATTTTTTATCTCTATGCGACCTTCATTCTAGACTGGGAACCCCCCCCCCCATTTGGGAAAACTCGCAGGATCTCTTTAGCTCAGGGACTAGTCATTTCCAGAGACTTCCAGGTGAGGGTGTGAGGTGAGGAAGAAGCCCCGTGCATTCTCCAGGTCTTCATGTCTTTATCCATAGCCCGTTCAGGGCTAATCTGTATCTGGGAACACCTCTTGATGAATTCAAGAGGAACTGTGGGGCATGTGGATTCTGCGTGGGGCATATTCTGGGAAATGAAGTGGGGGAGTGGAGTGGGGGTGCAAGCAGGCACACTCGGCGCTCACACATCCTCTCTCTAACACTTTCCAAAGTCATTGCAGTGGCATCGGCTCCTTACTGTGAATGGAACACTCTAAAGGGAGGAGCACAGTAGTCCCCCAGTCGTGCTCCACCCCCATCCTTAAGGCCTCCGGGCTTAGAAACCCAGGCTTTTAAACAGGGTGTGAGCTTGGAGCTCCCAGTGCCTCTAGCCTACCCTCACATCCCCAGGAGCCTCAATGTGTGTCCCCAGGCTAGTCAGCTCTGGATGGCTCCCCACTTCCTGGTTGCACAGGTGGAGCCAATGGAGCTGTAGGCTCTGCTCTCACTTCTGCCGTTGAATCTCATTCTGCCACCCAAGGCATCCCAATGAAGTCTGCCTGCTGCAGCCTCCAGGTAAGCCCACTGTGGCTCTCTCTCTCACTTTCTTGAGGACTATCTGGCCGGCAGTCCCTCTGAGGAAGAGAGGTTTCTACTGAAAACTACGGGACCAGGACTGGATCCCCTTTATAGGATCCCCTTTCAAAGCCCTTGGAAGACATCATCTCCTTCCATCCTCCCCCCCCCAACCCCATACATGGGAGGATAGAATTAAATAACCCAGTCAAAGCCGTGTGTAGGAAAGGGGATGGGACATACAAGTTCAGGGTAACCGGATTGATTTTTAGAAACATCTTCTGAGCGAAGCCCATGCCCCATCTTCCCCAAGCCGCCACTCTCTTGTGCAAGCGGAAAGGTATGCTGATCTCTCTTGCTGATCCGTAGGGATCGCTGCCAGCCCTGCAACTACTGGGTGCCCCAAATTCCCAGTTCTTGCCAGTCCCTCCCTGTCTTCCTTCTTGGGCACATCCCAGCAGCCCTGCCAATGCAAGTCAGATTGAGATTCCAGACTCCAGAACAGGCTGGTTTGCTCTGGAACCCATAACGTAGCTACAAAAGGACCGGTCTCAACCTCTCCACCAACCCAACCAAACATCCTAGGAAGAGGGACCTAGGGGAGGTTGATGTGGGCAACAAGGGAGTTTGGTAAAACTAGGAATTGCTTAACTAAGACCGATGAGTACCTGAAAATCACTTCAACTGTACAGGGGTTTGCCAAAGGAGAGACCCTTCAGGGACCCGTGGAGACTGGAAGAGGCTAATGGCCATCTTCTAGTTACTCAGGAAAACGGTGATGAGCAAAGCAGTTGTTAATAATATGGATGGACGACTCTTTTCTAGATATTAAATTAAACCAGTTTATATCTGTAATTCAAACCCTACAGCAACCTTAGAAGGTAGCTCAGATCTTGCCATTACACTAAAGTGGGAGAAACCTTGACTTTTTTTTTTTTGACATCTCCAATGTAGATTTATCTCACCCCAGAGCCCAAGCTGTGTGCAGCATCCTGAAAGGACACATCCACACTGAAGAGGGGGAAAAAAAATCACCTTTCTGATCAAGAGAGTTTCTACCACGTTGTGACTTGGTTTCTCTAAAAAACAGAACAAATTATTAAACTCTCTCTCTCAGTCTCTCTCTCTCTCTCTCTCTCTCTCTCTCTCTCTCTCTCTCTCTCT